AGGGCAAATAGGAATGGGCTGAGCGCAGACCCTTGGTGCAATCCCGTAATAACTGGAAAGTGTTCAGAGTCGCCTCCTACTGTCCTAACCCGAGTCTTAGCTCCATCATACATGTCTTTAATCACCCTAATATAGTTACTCGGGACCCCTTTATCCTCTAAGCAGCTCCATAAGACCTTCCTAGGAACCTTATCGTACGCTTTCTCCAGATCAATAAACACCATGTGGAGATCCTTCTTATTATCACCATATACCCTTATCGCGTAAAAAGGAGGTGTGACAGTTATCACCATATTTACATGCATCAAAAGATTTTCAAATTTTCCAACAAATAATGACACGAAGAGCCTGCAATATCAGTTTGTACACTGTGTTTCTTGCCTTCATATTCCACCAAACATTAAGCAATCCTCTGATTGGTAAGTGTTGATGGTTGATTCCCAATGGATTTCCCACAGCTTTCCACACATACCCAGCTGATCCCCCATCCACAAAAACATATTGCAAGGTCTTTATAAAAGGAACTAAACAGGAGCTACAAACCTCAGTTTCTTAAGAATCCGGCCTGGTACTGTTCTCCCTAATGGGAATTCTACCAAAAAGACCCTCCTAACACATGAAAGATTGCTTGAAGGGAATGGATTTGTGCCAAATCTTGTTGATGGTGTCATTGATTGTTCTATGTCTCCTAACCAAATTCCAAGCAGACCCATTTATAAAGTGACCATCCTCAATAGTATTCCAGATTGCATAATCATTCTTGTCTTCTTAACCCAACTCTATAGACTTAATATGTAGAGCAATTTGGCTAGGTGGGTTATTGTACAACTTATGTGCATCTACCTATTAGTAATCATAAAATCATTGACCTTCTTCTTGGTATTGATAGCAGTGATGTAGCTTGAACAAATGTGTGCCAGAGATCCCAATTCTGTCTAGTTGTCCCACAAAAGCTACAGTTACCAGCATTAATCTTCCAAGTTATTAATTTTTCACAATTGTCTTTGGCCCAAAGAAGATGTTTCCAAGCTTGAGAGTTACCGCTGCACCATTTCATACCAACAGGATGCACTTTATGACAGTATTTGTCACGATCTAAAATCCAACTAGTCGTGGTGGTACCTAACCCAACCTGCTAGGCAAGCCAATTAACAATTATCCAATTTCAATAAAATTTAATAAGACAATTAAGTAAAAAAAATATTTGAATCTTATACATTCTCCAAGGACTGGAAATACAAATCATGAGCTTCTAAAAATAGAATTTATAAAGCTAGTATGAAATAAATACATCATCTGTTCGAAATATATAAACTTATTTTTATGAATCTAAGGCTACCATGAAGAAGAGGAACACATGTATGTCTTCAATTCCAGCTCCCGTCGAACACAGTAATATCAGCATTCAACATATGCACGCAAGGTGCAGAAGTGTTGTATGAGTACAATTAACCTCATGTACTTAATAAGTAACAAACATAACCTTAGGTTGAAAGTAGTGACGAGCTAGAACATAGGTCAGACTCCAACACCAATAGCCAACAACAGTCGATAACAACATAATGAAAGTAATAAAAGAAGTAACTCAGAGTTAAAATCCTCAGCTCATTCACGGTTCTAGAAAAATAGGTCTGTTTTTCAAGTATATCATTGAAAACCAAATCTTTTACTGAAATCGCCAAAAATATGAGTATTGAAAACTGTAATTTTTTCCAAAGCTTTCAACAGGTAAATGTTACATTTTCAAATGGCGTGAGGAAAATACATTTCTATGCCTATATGTCAATATGTGAGAGAAGTCATAAATGTCATGATATCGTACACCATAAGGAAAAAATGCAGCTTTATGCTTGTATGCCAAGTGTGCATGTCAAATGCAATGTATCTCAAAGATAAACTCATGTACTTACACTCTCAGAGTACTCAATATCACTGTCTCACACTTTCCATTCATCATACTCAACCACTCGACATGCTCAGTCACTCAGTATTGTATATGGCCAATCCAACGCAGGAAAAATACATCCCGAATATATACATAGCAACTGATATCAGTCACTCAGCACTGTATAAGGCCAATGCATCTCGGGGAAGATCCATCCCCAAATATAAATGCTTCGGGCAAGATCTATGCCCAGGGAAGATCCATCCCTCAATATAAATTAACTGCGCTCACTGGGGGTGTGTACAAACTCTGAATAGGCACCTTCAGCCCAAGCGTTATAACAAGCCAGATCCAGGCATAAATCGATATAACATGTTACGGCGGGCAGCTCGATCTCATAATATTACTCACACTCAAGCCCTCGACCTCACTCAGTCATCAATCTCTCCAGTCTCTTGGTCTCACAATGCCATGAAACTAGCCCAAAATGATGATATGTGTCAATAAATAGCAACAGAGACTGAGATATGATATGAAATGAATGAATATGATTGAGTATGAAATTGCAATTTAAACTAATAACTCAACAACAATATAACCTCAGTGGGTCTCAACAGAATAAGCATGTAGCCTAGACATGGCTTCTAACATGAATTACAGCTCAATAGCTCTAGTACGTAGAGATTTCATGGTTACAGATATGATCAGGTAACTACACAGTACCATAGGAATAATGGAGTCACAATTCACACGGTGCACGCCCACACGCCCGTTACCTAGTATATGGGTCACCATAACACCAAACACATAATACGTAATCCGAGGTTTAATACCCCTCACCACCAAGTTTAGAAGTGTTACTTACCTCGAACAAACCAAATCAAATACCCAGCAAGCCGAATGATGCTCCAAAAATTCTATCCCCCACTTACCGACCTCCGAATGGCTCAAAATAAGACAAAAGCATTTCAAATACATCAACTAATGCCAAAGGAAACAAACACAATCGATAAAGGTCAAATATTTAATCAAATCCCGAAATCGACCAAAAAGTCAAACACGAGCCCGCACCTTGGAACCCAACAAAACTCACAAAATCCAAAAAAAATATTCAATTACGAGTCCAACCATACGAGTGTCACTCAAATTCAACCCCGAATCAATGCTCAAATCTCAAAATTTAACTTTATGAAATTTTAGACAAAACCCTCAAATTTCACTTTGAAATCATCAATCAAGTGCCAAAAGTGAAGATGGATTCATGAAATATAATCAAAATCGAGCATAGA